GTGTGTATGTGTGTGTGTGTGTGTGTGTGTGTGTTTGTGTGTGTGTGTGTGTGTGTGTTTGTGTGCGCGTATGTGTAAGATTCATAAAGCTTATGAGGCTTAAGACTTATGTAACTCACACCCTGTGGCCCCTGGTAATATAGGTAAAGCTATATAAACTGAGGTTACCATTTTGTTCTGGAATTTCCAAACTACCGTGAAAAGAATTAATTGAACTTATTAGTATTTCATTGCCTTATTTTTCCAATGTGACAATAACTTCAACTTTGATATTATGACACTCTGTACATTCTATTTGCTATATTTCTAATGGTAGCTCGTTCTGCCCCTCTGGCATGTGTTACGTTCACCTTGGCATTGGACATTATGTTTAAAACTTCCCTTTTATCCATCAGAATATTTTATCTTTTCCATTTGGTCGTAAGCAGCCTGTATTTGAGCATCTCTTTTTTCCAACTTACTTAATTTATGTTTCATACTGTTACTTTTCAAAATCCTCGACCTGTATATAGGGTATAATATAAATATAGCATTTTAAAAAGAAAAAACAAACAAAAAAACCCCCTCCTCTTTTCGCCTCAATATATTTTACAAGAGACTTATAACTCTCTTCAAAAGACAGGTAGCTTGATTTAAATAATTTCACTACCATTTACCAGACTTGTTGTTGTTGTGGTTTTGGGGCTGTTTTGTTTTTGTTTTTTGTATCTGTCATTGTTAACAATGTTTTGCTTTATAAATTTCTGTGCAAAACCCAAATATATTATATGACAAATGGTTCTTAAAAGTATTTTATTATTTTATTTATTAAGACGGTGTGGATATGACTCGTGCATTATTTTCTCTTATGACGACGTCTAATAATATTTTCAACGCTCGACAGCTCTGGTGTGAAGAAGAGTATACAGTAGACAACAATAGTATAATAAGATTACGCTCCTTTTCGTCTTATCGGAGCATATACAGCTTAGTGACAGCTAAGAAACGAACAGGTCATTTCCGAAAAACTATTGATTTTCTGCCTTTTTTGTTTGGAGGGTGTGGAAGGGGTGTTTAAAAAAATGTTTTCAAGCTACTAATCAGTGTGACAATCCCATGTTTTCTTAATCAGCAGCAGTTGCGGTGAGTTGGTAGTTAAATTATAATTAAAAACAAAACAAAACAAAGAAAACTAATCATACTAGTTTTTGGTGGCTTCTCTTCATCAATCTTGTCGCCTTTATTCTTGTCTGATGTCTCCTTAATACTGTCTTTGTTGTCGTCCCTGATCTGTACGATGACCACAGCCAGCACCACCACAGCGACAAGAGCAAGGACCAGAACAAACAACAGCGCCTTCACCCCGCTAGACATCTTGTTCTTGTTGCTCTTCTCGCTCAGACTGTGTGGGATGAAGAGATGTAAGTGTGCAGAGTTAGACAGGCCGCGCGCGCACATACACACATAAACACGCACACACACACACACACACACACACACACACACACACACACACACACACACACACACGAACACAAACATATACACACACATGAACACACAGTCACATCCACATACATATATTTAGACACATGCACACATTCTCACTCTCTCTCTCTCTCTCTCTCTCTCTCTCTCTCTCTCTCTCTCTCTCTCTCTCTCTTTCTTTCCCCTTCTCTCTCTCTCCCTCTCTCTCCCCCTCACACACACACACACACACACACACACACACACACACACACACACACACACACACACACACGCAAAGACACATATAAAGACATGAGGTGGGAGGTTATATATATATATATATAAATATATAGGTAGAGATATATATATGTATATATATGTATAGATATATATATATATATAAATACTCACACGTACACACGAACAAACATAAATACGAAGTTATAAGACACTGTGTATTGGAAAGAGCGAAGCTTTAGAAATGTCGGACTTGCTCATTGCATCGCACCTTAGGATATCAGCTATGCTCATGGTGCGGTCAAAAAGTCATGGTACAACATTTTGTCTTTAAGTGGTGAAACAATGCCACCCTTTCATAGCAGGACCTGGCATCAATAGTTTGTCTCAACTTTAAAATATTTTTCAACAACACTTGAGGATAGTTTGTTTTCTTCATAAATAACATATACAATACCACAAACTTCCCATTTGTCTTACACATTAGCAGGTATAAAAGCTGATGACGAGTGAAAATGTAAAGAATTTGTGCTCCTACTTTGTAAAA